AGCTAGCTTGGCTCAGTGAATAGAGCATCAGCCTGCAGACTGAAGAGTCCCAGGTTCAATTCCAGTCAAGGGCACATGCCCAGGCTGTGGGCTTGATCCCAGTGGGGGTGTGCAGGAGGCAGCTGATCAGTGATTCTCTCTCATTATTGATGTTTCTATCTCTCCCTCCCTTTTCCTCCCTCTCTGAAATAAATAAAAAGATATTTTTAAAAGGGTGGGAGGAATCAACACATACACTGTAAAGTATAATTTAATTTATACTGGGAAAGGAAAGCAAGTTCTCTTAATTATAAAATAAATACATAAAAATTATTTCAGTGAACATCTGTTATTTTTGCCTGTCTAGCAACTCTCCCATCTCTGGGAAATAACACCTCAATTTTCCTTGAGCAATTATATGCCTCCTACCCTTAATTCATGTGGTTTGAAACTGTATACCCCCTACAACCCACTCCAGGGTAGGAACAAGAGCCAATCCTGGCCACACAAAGCATTTTATCACTCTAGCTACAGAGACTGCTTCTAGGACAAGCCAATGAGATGCCCTCCCATACAGTAGAAAAAGGAAAGTTCTTTCTCTTCTGGGGTTTCTCAGGTTAGAGGAAGTAAGTAAGGCTAGTGCTATTAGTACCATTATTTGCAGAGTCTGACTTTAGACTCTTTACGTTTCCACACTGATTCCCAAACATGCAAGGAAACTAATAGCTACCTGTGGCAGAGGAAAAGATAAATTATGATTTTTGACTTTCAAACATAATTTCTATTTTCCAAAATAGACACCTATTACTTTTATAACAGGAAGTATGGAACATGGGAAATATGCCCATGTGTCTTCCTCTCATATATGCTCAGAAATCAATATTTAGCCGGGTCCGGTTTGGCTCAATGGATAGAGCGTCGGCTTGGGGACTGAAAGGTCCTGGGTTCGATTCCGGTCAAGGTCATGTACCTTGGTTGCGGGCATATCCTCAGTAGGGGGTTTGTAAGAGGCAGCTAATCGATGACTCTCATCAGTGTTTCTAACTCTCTCTCTCTCCCTTCCTCTCTGTACAAAATCAATAAAATATATTTTAAAAAAAGAAATCAATATTTAATACCTTAAAAGCATTAATAATTTTCTCATAATTTACCAAAGTATGTAGAAAATCTATTTTAAAATAATTAACTTTTCCTCTTGGCACAAAAGCAAACTATTTTTATCCAGGGTGGGGGGGTGGGGGGAGTTGTGAGTAAACTTTTAAAAAACGGATTCTCTTTTTAAAAGGGATATATTAAACAATTCTATATGGGGAAGAAATGGCTAATGTTCAGCAAGTGCTATAGCCATTGTATCAATAAAAATTCCTCAAAAGGGAAACAAAGGAAAAAACAAATGGGACCACATAAAAATAAAATAAAAAGCTTCCACACAGCAAAAGAAACCACCAACAATGAAAAGGGATCCCACAGCATGGGAGAACATATTTGCAGATGAAACATCTCATAAGGAGTTAATATCCAAAATATATAAGGAACACATACAACTTAACAAAAGGAAGACAGTCCAATTAAAAATAGGCAATGGACCTAAATAGATATTGCTCCAGAGGGGACACACAGATGGTCAAGACATTAAAAAAAAAGTCATTAATCATCTGAAAGATGCAAATCTCTGTCAGAATGGCTACCATCAACAAATCAACACATGACAAGTGCTGGTGAAGATGTGGAAAAAGGGAATCCTAATACACTGATAGTGGGAATGCAGATTGGTGCAGCCACTATGGAAAACACTATGGAGTTTCCTCAAAAAATTAAATATGGAACTGCCATTTGACCTAGTGAGCCCACTTTGAAGAATTATCTGCCTCAAACACCAATCAGAAAAAAATATATGCACTCCTATTTTCATAACAGCGTTATTTACAATAACTAAGATCTGGAAACAGCCCATCAGTAGGTGAGTGGATAAAAAAAGCTGTGGTACATTTGCACCATGGAATACTATACAATGATAAACAAGAAAGATCTCTTACCCTTCAGACAGCACGAAGGGACCTGGAGAGTATTATGCTAAGTTAAATAGGCCAGTCAGAGAAAGACAAGTATCACATGATCTCACTCATATGAAGAATCTAATGAAAAAATAAACTGATGAACAAAATACATCTAGAGCCATAAAAGCATGAAATAGACTGATGAATCTCAGAGGGAAGGCAGGCAGGAGTAGAGATTAACCAAAGAACTGATAGCATATATGCATAACCCATGGACACCGACAATAGTGAGATGAAGGCCTGGAGGGTGGGGGACGGGTGCAAGGTGGAGGGAGATATCTGTAACACTTGCAACAATAAAGATAATTTTTTTAAAAAAGAGGTAAAACGAAAGATTAAAAGTGGCCACATTAGATTTAATAACTATCAATTACTTTAGTCCTATAATGTTTAATAATATAAGGTTTGGAAGATCCATTAAATCTTTCAGTTATAATTATTTTGCATAATATTGCATTATGGAAAAAAATATTGCATTATGGGAGACATTACATATTATTGTTTTATTCTTTTCTTTTTAATATATTTTATTGATTTTTTTTACAGAGAGGAAGGGAGAGGGATAGAAAGCTAGATACATCAATGAGAGAGGGACATTGACCAGCTGCCTCCTGCACACTCCCCACCAGGGATGTGCTCGCAACCAATGTACATGCCCTTGACCAGAATTGAACCCAGGACCTCTCAGTCCGCAGGCCAACGCTCTATCCACTGAGCCAAACCCGTTTCAGCTATTGTTTTATTCTTAAACTAGAGGCAATTATAAGCTTCCTACCCTTAATTCATGTGGTTTGAAACTGTATATTCCCCACAACCCACAAAATTCGTGCACTTGGCAGGGGATCCCTCAGCCTGGCCTGCACCCTCTCGCAGTCTGGGAGCCTCAGGGGATGTCCTGGAAGCGGGCCTAAGCTGGCAGTTGGACATCCTTGGTGCTGCTTTGGAGGCGGGAGAGGCTCCTGCCTCCGCCACTGTGCTTGCCAGCCAAGAGCCTGGCTTCTGGTTGAACAGCACTTCCCCTGTGGATGCACACTGACCACCAGGGGGCAGCTCCTGCATTGAGCATCTGCCCCCAGTGGTCAGTGCACATCATAGCGACTGGTCGTTTCACCGTTCAGTGGACGTGCATGTTAGCCTTTTATTATATAGGATACACAGGAAAGTCAGTCTCAAGATGAACCTCTTGAGAATGTAAAAAGTCTACTTACTAAATATAGTAAATATTCTAGAGATTATAAAGACAGCAATACACACTTTTGTACTTTTTTTTTTTAGGACACCACAGATTTTATTTCTGTGGTATATGTCTATTTTTTTAATTTTTTTATTGATTATAGCATCACATAATTGTCCTCATCCCCCCAACACACTTTTGTATTCTTGCTTATTAGTTTTTATTAACTAATTCAGGCGTCCTCAAACTTTTTAAAGTGGGGGCCAGATCACAGTCCCTCAGAGAGCTGGAGGGCCGGACTATATGAACTACTAATTCCTACTGTAACACCTCGGCTGCGCTCACTGCCCAAAAAACCTGGCGGGCCGGATCAGACTCCTCTGCGGGCCGCATGTGGCCCGAGGGCCATAGTTTGAAGACCCCTGATTACTAATTCTTTCTTCCAAGACATACAACCCACTCCTGAACCTATGCTTATTGCCAGTATTATTCTGTGTTTTATAGTCCTCATTAATTAAGGACACTTAGAGGTGTTAATGACACTTTCTTGCCATAATTAGGTAGCCAGAGTGGTGTTCTTAAGTGGAAGAGATAATCAGGGACCTAAGAAGGGTGACAATAAAGAGTAGCTGGAGGCCAGAGCCACCTTCCCTCATGCAAGAGGTAGAAGGTCCTTAAAAGTTCTTAAAATAAGGTGATAATCAACAAGCTCATTACCTTGTCCAACACCAGTAAGACAGCAGGTTGATCATCCTGGTCAACACCTATGTTTTAAGATGCTGACATTTTACTAACTGGTCATGTGGTTTTAATGAAATCTAAAGTCTCCTGCTGCTATCAACTCAAACCTGTTTCACTTTTCCTGCAAACTCCTTTCTTCCACGGCAAGATCACTAGCAATCCCTGAACCGAAGGGATAACAAAGGTATAGCCAAGAACCCACCCCAAAACACTGTGATAGTCACATCTGTTAATAACATGATGGAAAGAAAATGGATCTTTCCAGGTACCACAGGGAGGATAAAACATTTTACTTTAGTCCAACAGCTATAAAATGGCTATTCCGCTAACATGTCAAATACATACAATATAGTTGTGGCAGCTGAAAGAGAAGGTAAAGAAACCATAAACATTAAGATCCCAGAGATGGAAACCTAACAGTCCGTTTTAAACTCTCCTGCCAACTCTCACATGGAGTCAATAACGCCTGGCTCATCCTCGCAGCATCGTGTGGTGGGTGAGGACAGGATGGCGAGAAGGAAACTTGGGAGAGAAAGGAGGAGACCGGGAAGGCGCCGGAAGAAACAAAAACTGAACAGTCCCAGGACCCAGCACTTGGTGTTGCTCCTTCGGGTCCCCGCTGACTTTCCACTTGTTTGGTTTCAGTGGCTGATACCTCTCCCCGATCCGAGATCTAACTGTCAACTCCCCACCCACTTCCAGCCACACCCACCAGCCCCCGTGGAACCGACCCGGTCTCCCGGCGTCTCCGGGGCGCCCGAGTGAGCCCAGCGGCTGGGAGGGAACCGGCGCCCGGAGAACTTGTCCCGGGACGGACGGAGCAGAAGGGACGGGGAAGAAGTCAGGAGGAAGACTCGGGACTCCTCTCCAGCCCCTGAACCGGCGCCTCCGGGAGAGACAGCGATCCCCGCCCGGCGAGATCGCCTGCGCCCGGAGCGGACGAACGGCCGGTCCCGGAGACCAGGTCCCTAAAGCGCGGTCACCCCCTTCCATTCTGCCTCCCGTAAATAACGCCGGTCCCCTCGCACCTCTCCGAGCTCAGCACTCACCCGGCCACGCCGAAGCGCCAGTTGCTTCTGCGTCAAATCCTCCCTCCTCGGAAAACCACAGAGACGGAGAAACAGCGAGACGAGCCTCCACCGCCGCCCACCGCCGGTGACTCCCCCGGCCGCGGGGCCTGTCGGGATAGTGGCGAAGGCGAGTGGGCGGGGCGCGGAGGGAAGGAGTGGGCGGCGGGGAACGGGGGAAACAGGCAGCCGCGCCCCGGCCATAGCCCCGCCCCGCCCTCAGGCCCCGCCCCGCCTTGGCCCCGCCTAGCTCTCTGGCCACGTCACGCCCTCAGGCCCCGCCCCCTCAGTGTTTAGGCGGGAAAGACACACACACACACACACACACTCACACTCACACACACTCACACACACTCTCTCACACACACACACACTCACACACACACACACACACATACACACTCTCACATACACATACACACACACACTCACACACACTCACACACACACACTCTCACACACACTCACTCTCACACACACTCTCACACTCTCTCTCACACACACACACTCTCTCACACACTCACACACACACACTCACTCACACACTCATATACACACACACACACTCTCTCACACACACTCACACACACACACACACACTCTCTCACATACACACACACTCTCACACACACTCTCTCACACACACACAGAGTTCATAGACATCTAAGAGTTGCACTGTGTCCTCTGTCACTTGTACTGTGTCCTCTGTCACCTCGTTGGTGCCCTTTGACTAAGGGAAAAGGAGTCTGAGAAAAGAAAACTGACCACAGTGAGTTGAGAATTGTTCCTTTTGAACTGCATTTAGGTTTTAGGCCTCGGGTAAAAATGTCCTCATTTCCTGACCTTCAAACTTTTTTTCAATTTAGAAACCTCATCCTTTCCTCTACTGTATGATTTTTTCAAGTGTTCTCTTTGCAAACTAATATGTTGGAGCGCTTAGTCCCGCCCCCCCCCCCCCCCCCCCCCCCCCCCCAGGCATGTGCCCTGCCTGAGAATACAACTGTGACTCTTGGTTCACAGGTCCATGCTCAACCACTGAGTCATGCTGGCCAGGCCCTAAGCTAGTATGTTTTTCTCTATTGTTGCTATGAGAAGTGAGGATGGAGAGGGATCCCCTGGCTATGAAAACAGAATGAAAATATTTTTATTATGATAAGAGAGAACTTTCACATTAAAAAATCCTGAAGAATTTCTTAAGCAGAGCTGCAGAAAAGGCTATAAGGTTGGAAACCAAAGAAGGCAACAGAATTATAACTGAATTAAATTGTGAAGTAAGCAAAACAACTCTTTTCTCCATTTCTTCTCAGGTGACTGTCCCTCCCCAATAATCAAACAAATTATTGTGTTCACTGTGCTAACCCTTTACATCCAACACAATGTTTGCTTACCACTAACTACCCTCCAGACTAGTGGAATGGAGACTGTTTTTATTTATTTGCAGATGGGGAAACAGGCTCAGACTCCAATAATGTGTAAATGCTATATGTGGCTGGGACAAAGACCTGTCCATACTCTTATGCAGTATTCTTTGATCTGTTGTCCTCTGGATCTATCAGCCTGAGGAGTTAAACATCTCTCCAAACTTCTTAGCTATCAAAATGTACCTGTGTGTGTGTGTGTGTGTGTGTGTGTGTGTGTGTCTTTCATTAGAGCCTGTTCTCTGTTAAATGAGAAATTGGTAAAAAAAATAAAAAAAATAAAAAAAATCCCCATTTATTAGTAGGCACTTAGCATGGTATCCTTCCCAGGCAGCATGCTCGTAAACGATGGGAATTTCAAATTGTGTCCTAGATTACTATGGAACACTTTGGAGTCTCCTGAAATCTTAAATAGTAGTTGAGTCAACTATTTCTCAGAACAAGGAAAAAAGAAATGATGAATATATAAGTTTTGAAAAAAATCAATTTTTAAGGATTGATGCAATTCAATCCTCATTTTAGGCAATATTTATCTATATAAAACGAAATAACCATTTGAGCAAATTATTTAATAAAATGTACAAATATAAATCAGTGGCTCTCATACCTTTTGTTCTCAGTAGCCCTTTAAAAATTATTGAGGCACTAGCTGGATTTGCTCGGTGGTTAGCGTGTCAGCTCACAGACTGAAGGGTTGTGAGTTCAATTCCCAGTCAAGGGCACATATCTCGGTTGCAGGTTCAATTCCCAGCTCCTGTCAAGGCAAGTAAGGGAGGCAACCAATAGATTTGTCTCTCATGTTTTTCTCCCGCCTACCTCCTTTACTTCTACTCTGAAAATCAATGGAAAAATATCCTCAGATGAGGGTTAAAAAAAAAAATTATTGAGGACTACTCCAAACAACTTTTGTTTATGTGTGATATATGTATAAATACCTATTACGTTAGAAATTACAACATTAAAATTTTTTTTAATAAATCTTTATTGTTCAGGTGATTACAATTGTTCAGTCTTTTTTCCCCATAGCTCCCCTCCACTTGGTTCCCACCCCATCTCTGCCCTTACCACCCCCCCACTGTCCTCATCTATAGGTGTACGATTTTTGTTCAGTCTCTTCCTGCACCCTCCACATCCCTTTATCCCTGAGAATTGTCAGTCCACTCCTTTTCTATGCCCCTGATTCTATTATATTCACCAGCTTATTCTGTTCATCAGATTTTTTATTCACTGGATTTTTAGATTCACGTGTTTATAGTTAAGTATTTGTTGTTCATAATTTTTATCTTTACCTTTTGATTCTTCTTCCTCTTCTTAAAGAATACCTTTCACCATTTCATATAATACTGGTTTGGTGGAGATGAACTCCTTTAGCTTTTTCTTACCTGTGAATCTCTTTATCTGACCTTCAATTCCGAATGATAACTTTGCTGGGTAGAATAATCTTGGTTGTAGGTGCTTGCTATTCATCACTTTTAATATTTCTTGCCACTCCCTTCTGGTCTGCATGGTTTCTGTTGAGAAATCAGCTGACAGTCAGTCATATGGGTACTCCCTTGTAGGTAATTAACTGTTTTCTCTTGCTGCTTTTAATATTCTCTCTGTCTTTTGCTCTTGGCCTTTTAATTATGATGTGTCTTGGTGTGGTCTTGTTTGGATTCCTTTTGTTTGGGGTTCTCTGTGCTTCCTGGACTTATAAGTCTATTTCTTTCACCAGGTGGGGGAAGTTTTTGGTCATTATTTCTTCAAATAGGTTTTCAGTATCTTGCTCTCTCTTTTCTTCTGCACCCCCATAATTCTGATGTGGGTACACTTGAAGTTGTCCCAGAGGCTCCTTACACTATCTTCATATTTTTGGATTCCTTTTTCTTTTTTCTTTTCCAGTTGGGTGTTTTTTGCTTCTTTGTATTTCAAATCTTTGACTTGATTCTTGCTATTCTCTAGTCTGCTGTTAGATAGCTATATGTTACTTTTTATTTCAGTGAGTGTATACTAATTTCTAGTTGGTCCTTTTTCATATCCTTGAGGGTCTCACTAAATTTATTGGCTGTTTTTAGAAAATTCTTGAAAAACCTATAACCGTGGTTTTGAATTCTATATCCAGTCATTTGCTCTCCTTCATTTCTTTCATTTGTGACCTGTTTGTCTTCGTATTTTGGCTGCTTCCCTGAGTTGATAGAGTGGCTTTGTGTGCTAGGTGTCCTATAGGGCCCAGGGGCTCAGCCTTCCCAGTTACCTGAGGTGGACACTCTTGGTGTACCCCCTTGTTTGCTGTTTGCATAGTCTTGTAGTTAAACCTTGATTGTTGTTGGTATCACTGGGAGGAATTGGCCTCCAGTCCAATTGGCTGTGAGGATCAGCTGTGTCTAAGCTAGAAGAACTTCTCTGCTGGAGACACCCTTATGAGACAAGATTTGCAAAAGCCTCTGTGCTCAGCTTGGCGTAGAGTCTCAGGGCAGAGCAGACAGCATTGGTTTCCCATCAGCCCTGCCCTATTGGCCCTGTGTCTCAGTGTCCCGTGGTAATTGCTGCAAGCAACTCTGAGAGAAAGCTGCCCTTGAGTTTTACCCGCTGCAAGACAGTCCAGTTTCTCCCCAAATGAGTCTGGATCCCCAGAGTCGCACCCTGAACTGGAGTTCAGCGCAGTCAGGAGCTTTTGTCTCCCTCCTGCTTGAAAAAGTCAGCCTCGCACTCAGTTGCCAGTCCTCTCCATGTGCGTGTCTCAGTACCTCTACCTCCTACAGCTCCTCTGAGTCTCAGTGTGCTTTTTTCTTTCATTCCAGTTGTAGAATTTTCACTCAGCCAGTCTCCCTGTGGTTCTGGATGGTGTCTGTTTTGTCTTTTAGTTGTAGTATTGAAATTGTTGTGCAAGACAGCAGTTTAGGTGTTTACCTTTGCCGCCATTTTGGTTTCTCCCTCTACAACATTTTTCATTCAATAAGATTTTGGCATTTAAAAAAATAAATACAAATAACATATTTTTATGAATAATAACTATATTTTTTAAAATAGAAGAACAGCATAGTTTTACATTCTTATAAATTTCTTTAATATCTATTCATAGAAAACAGTTGATTCTTATATCTTTTCTTCTTAGTTTTTTTCAATATCACACATCAGATAGCCTTGGAAAACTCCACTGAACATGCAAAAAATGGGAGTGATAAAGGCAAATAACAGCTTATTCTTAGTAGGAAAAAAGTCTTGATCTATGGTTCAATTGAACGGGTTTTAGGAAGCCCCAGGAGTCCTTAGACCACATGTTAAGAACCACTACCTTAAACCATAGAAATGTTACCTACTATGGGATTCTTTGGCTAACCATTTTGGCATCAAATAGAACATTTAGTAGAAAGTGAAACAAGACAGAGATAATTTACAGACTAGACCAATCTTATAAATATGAGCATTCTTTCTTTTTCAGGAGCATAGAGTAAGTTAGCAGAATTCAGGGTCATAACTGAACACATCTACATTCTGAATTAGAAATCAGTCCACCAATTCAATTATGTTTGTCTTTCAGGCTGCTGTACAAGGTGGGTCCTGTCACATGAATATATAATAACATGAACGTGGGTTTATATCCCCTGTACAAACTAATATTAAAACTCCAATTAAATTTGAAGTAAAAATTCTTTTCATAAGTATGAATGTATTCAGTGCTCACTATATGCAAGGCTCATAATAAGTGCTGG